AAGAGAGAGTCACAGTACTTGGGAGACTTGTTTGGATTTTGAAGGTAATATGTAACACATCTGGGTTTGGTGCCTTGAATCATTTACTTGATAACTCACAGGACCCTGACACCCACTTTAAAGTGGCTCCTCTGTTGCCTTTTGTCATACTATCCTGTTTTATTTTCTTCAATGCACTCATCACAGTCTGATGCTGTGCTGCCTGTTTATTTGTTTTATTTTGTTTTATTTAGCTCCCCCCACTAGAACATAGGCTCTGTGAGAGCAGAAAGCCTTTCTCACTCCTCTACTATAACCCAGTTCCCAAAGCCATGCCTGACACACAGTGGGCACACAGTGAGGTTTTTAACAACTCAATAAATGAACATGTTCCAAGTAGGTACTTGGATTTGAGATGCTTGCATTTCCTTGAGAAAGCATTCTAGCTTTGAGAATGAATTTTCTCTGACAATGTTTTTTATTTGAAAGGATTCAGTCTGTGTATTTTACCCAAATAGCACACACTGAAGTTCCTATCCTTTCCCTAATATATTTTTAATAATTTATTGTCAAGTTGGTTTCCATATAACACCCAGTGCTCATCCCCACAAACGCCCTCCTCCATGCCCATCAACCCCCTTAGCCTCCCCCCACCCCCATCAGTCCTCAGTTTGTTCTCAGCATTCAAGAGTCTCTCATGGTTTGCCTCCCTCCCTCCCCCCCACTATTTTTCCCCTTCTTCTTCCCCACAGTCCTCCGTTAAGTTCCTCCTAATCCTCCTATACGTGCAAACATATGGTATCTGTCCTTCTCTGCCTGACTTAGTTCACTCAGCATAACACCCTCAAGGTCCATCCATGTTGCTACACATGGCCAGATTTCATTCTTTCTCATTGCCATGTAGTATTCCATCGTATAGATAAACTCCATCTTCTTGATCCATTCGTCCGTTGATGGACACTTAGGCTCTTTCATGTTTTGGCTATTGTTGAGAGTGCTGCTGTGAACATTGGGGCACATGTGCCCCTATGCATCAGTACTCCTATATCTTTCCCTAATATTTTGATATGGCTATTACTACCAATCATTTATTTACTATTGAAGAAATGGAACACATGTAGTCTCCATGCTTTTGGAGACTTGTGCCCAGTAAGCCCTTCAAGCCTCAGTAAACTGGTGAAGAGGCAGTGCTTATGTGGGGCAGGAACACTGAGGCAGGCAGGACTCTGGGGTGGGGAAGCACTGAGCTGCCTTTGCCACAAACAAGTTTTAGCCCATTGGGGAAGCAACAGATCCAAATCTTGTCTTGTAGCTTATAAAATGAGCTTAATAACTGCAGCCCTTCTGGCCTTATGAGCCTATTGAAAGATGGAGGAGATAGTAAACATGTATATTTAAAGGGAAGGTGGCTGTCATTCCTCATTTATTTTCTTGCTCATTCATCCATCAAATATTTCAGAGCAAAGCACTGGACTAGCAACTGTGTGGTGAAAAGGAGGTGGGGTGTGTCCTGCATACCCCCGTCATGCATCTGGTAGGGTTGATGCGCACAGATGGCAATGGCTGGAAGGGACTAGGTTGTGGAAGAGAGGTGCAGCAGCATGCTATGGGGTTCAGAGAAGGCTCCTGAGACTGGGAAGGCAGTATTCTGCAGAAACTGGATCTTAGCAAAACTAATCCCTCAGGGGTCTGCCAGAGTACCCAGCCTGGGGTGCCCACTGCTCTGGCAGGCTGGGGACAGCGAGGTGACAGCTCCAGGCCAAGGCCACCCTTGATGGCCTTTTTAGAGTCTCTCTGGTTGTGAAGCATGAATCAGACTGACCAGCAGGTCCTGAGGCTCTGGAGCAAATAGTCCTCTTCTTTTTTTTTTTTTTTTTTTTTTAATTTTTTTAATTTTTTTTAAATTTTTTTTTTTTAATGTTTTATTTATTTCTAGGAGAGAAAGAGAGACAGCGTGAGCAGGGGAGGGTCAGAGAGAGAGGGAGTCACAGACTGAAACAGGCTCCAGGCTCTGAGCTGGCTGTCAGCACAGGGCCCGATGCGGGGCTCGAACCCACAAACCGCGAGATCATGACCTAAGCGAAAGTCGGACGCTTAACCGACTAAGCCACCAAGGCGCCCCGCAAATAGTCCTCTTCTTATAAAGACTGTAAAATTCACAAAGAGACAGGAGAACTATACAAACATTACTTCCTTCTATTTGCCGTTAGTTGATTCATTGTTATTATCAAAGCTTTTTCTGCCTTGCCTCAATGGGGGTTTAGTCTTGTCTTCCCTGGGGGAGCAAGGGTAGAGACAGGCTTGGAGTTTCACAGGGTTCCTTGGGTCTGAGCTCGCCTCGAGCTACTATTTCCAGTTGGCAAAATCTTTTGCTCCAATTAGCACCACCTCTATGCAGCCCAGTTCCCTCTGCCCTTGTTTCTCTGAGTAAAGCTTCCCGGGCTTAGAGCAGGCAAGAGCCCTGAGCCCGGGGCCCTTCTGGGATTTGCTGGGGGACGACCAATAGGCCAGAGGTGGCTAAGGGTGTATCTGCCAGTGACTCAGTTCTGTCTTCATGCAATGCCTGCAGAGAGGGAGGGCATCCCTGCATACCCTGCATTACAGGTTGGAAGCGCCTATGACAAACAGGAAAAGGGCCAGCATACTATGAGGGAAGAAAAAGAAAAAGATGTGTGGATAAGCTTGCTTTTGCTTTTTTAATTTTTTAAAGAAAACTGCAAATTGTGCTTATTTGGCAAATGGGATGAATGTCATATGAAAAAATTCTGCTTTTTTTTTTCTTCACATAAACAAATTTTCATGACACAAGTAAGGGGCAGACAGGAATACCTGCCCCCTCACCCCAGCATTGCGATATTTAGGAAATAAAAATACAGGATGTTTGGTTAAATTTGAATTTCAGATATATAATAGTTTTTACCATACTATTTAGGACATACCACTTATGTTACAAAATTTTCATTCTTTAACTGCAATTCAAATTTACTGGGCACCCTGTGTCTTGTCTGGTGACCTTTCCTTCCATAAGCATCAAGTCGACTGTGAACTCACCCAGAGCTCTTGTTCCAGGATTCTCCATGGCTCAGTCCTCTAAGGAACCTGGTGGTGCTTCCCCTCCAGATTCCTAATCCAGGGCAACCTGCACAACCATCTCTGGGAGAAGAGTCTCCTCTGTCAGTACTTAGGCCAGGGTCCCTGGCTACTTGGGTCACCCTGGGGGAAGATTCTTGGTGGGACTTAGTAACACATGCAGGTGTGGTCTTCCTTCCAGACACTGGGAAAACAGTAGTTCTCTATGTTGGTTGCACTTTGGAAATAACTGGGAAGCTTAAAAATACTAATGCCTGGGTCTTATCCCCAGAGACTCTGAATTAATTGGACTGGGGTGTGGTCTACGAATTGGAATTTACAAAAAAATCTTGGTGATTGTAATGAGCTGCTAAAGTTGAGGACTAAGGCCTTAGAGCCACCAATGCAGAAAACTGTAGGTCTGGCCAGGGTCTCAGGTGACAGGGACTTAAAGAGAGCCACCCATTTATTGACTGTGCCATAGTTTCAAGAGGGAAGAAAATTCAAGTATTTATCAGTTGCACTGATATCTGATAGTCATTTTTGATGGTCCTGGTCCTCAGACTGGTGTGGGGATTACAAGAAAGTGAGATCTGAGACCCCTGCTGTCCAGGTGTTCACAGTGCCTCTGGAGAGAGATGCTTCCTCCTCCCTTCCCATCAACTCTGCTACATTACCTGATAGGGAACCCAGGACTGGGGCCATCAGCATCCTGCTGTGTGTTTGTGTGTGTGCGTGTACGCACACACACACAAAAGAGAGGTGAGCATGTGTTACCATAGCCAAGAAAACTTTGTTCAGGAACAAGATCAGGGTGGCTTCCGTGACCCAGGCACTCTTTCCACTGAGAGGTTATGAGAAGCTTCAATCCCTCCGAATGTGGGGAAAGTGCAAAGATGAAGTCAGTCTCTCAGGGGGAGAGGAAGAAGGGCAGCGTGTGAACCCACCACCATGGCACACACTTAGACGAATGCACTAATGAGGCAAGGCATATGGATGTAATGGTAATAACAAGAGCTGTTATTTCATTATAATCTAATCATATTATAATAGTTATTATTACCCATATGTTCTTATTTTTGTTATAGAAACTGCAGATATTAATAGTTATACTGGTCTACAATTCCTTGTCCAAATCCTTGGGGCCATTTGTTTAAAAACTCAAGGTTTTTCTTTTTTTTTTAGATTTCAGAAAAATAAAGTGATAAATGGTAGCAACTGAGGCAGCATTCTAGCCAAACACACTAAGTTCTGCTGCAGAACATGTGAATACTGTCAAGTGAGGTGAATAAGCATCCTAAAACCTCATGTCAATCAGGTCAGGCTGTGAAAAATCTTTTGGTTTCCAAATCTTTTTTTGAATTCTGTGAATAGGAGACTGTGGGCCTAAAGCCTATCTCCCTCATTTATGGAACATGAAGTATTTGATAGGCAGTGGGCTGAGTATTTTATATTACCCCCATTGGAACCTCATGGCAGCCCTATGAGGTGGAAACCATTGTTGCCATCATTTTGCAGATGAGGAAATGGAGGCGTAGGAGGTTGAATGACCTGCCCAAGGTCCGTGGCTCTTGAGTGGAAGGAATTAGAACAGGAATTCAAGTTCCATTCTGTCTGGCTGGTGGTCTGTACTGCACTGCCACAGGAGCTTCAGGGGGACATGGGTGTACAGACTACCTGGGCAGGCACGGATGTACAAGGCATGTCACACAGCAGGCTTTCTGCAAAGGTGTGCATGTAAGTACACACTGAGTGTGGATGTTCTATGTGTGTGATAATTTGTGTGTTTGTCTGTTTTCCTGTGTGTGAGGGGGGTAGGGGTGGGTGTTTGGAATGGGAAGACTCTGGGTGTGTCACTGTGTGCCTCTCTCTGTGTCTGCCACCTCTCATCTCTGTATCAGCAGGTCTGGAACAGGGAGAGTCACCTCTGTCATATCTTTGCTTTCATGCAGACTGCACTCAGGAGGAGGAAGCCTTCCAAGGGGGACCTGGTGGTGAAGACTGTCTTCATGTAGACCCTAAGTGGATGAGTTAGTCAAGGTCAGCACACAGTCATCCAGGGTCCCAGAGAGCCCCAAGAGCACCTTGGCAAGGTCAGTAAACTTCATCTTGGTTCAATTATTTTTAAGGGGACAGTTTGCTGGATAAATGAAAGAAATGCAGATTTTCCCAAAGGTTCCTAGGATATGTTACCTTTTTCTTAGAGGAAGAGGTAGAGATGGAAACCTCTTTGAGGCTTTGGTTTTGTGTGGTTGGTCTGTGTATTGGCAGCCAGTGGCACCACATTCAGTAAGTGGGAAGGCTGATTTTCTATTTTCCTGGGATGCGCTTCAGAGAATGAGCCTTGGGGGTGTGACTGAGACACCCCACATCCGGGCAAGCAGGGTCAGGCAAGTGATGACCTTGACGGCTGGGATTCACAGCTTGAGTCTTGAGGCAGCCATGTACAAGGGATGGCAACTCTCCACCTGCCAAGTCAGGGAAGAAAGAAAACATCCAAACTGCTGGGGGTTCTTCTCTAGTCTGGTTTCTCTGTGAACCTCTGATTGTCTGCTCCAGGAAGAAGACAGAAAAGAGAGGGAGCTAGCATATGTCTAATGAAGCTGGTGCTTTGTTTATTATTGTTTTATTCCTGAGAGCTACATCTAAGGAAGGTATTTTGTCTCCTTTTTATTTAATTTCTTTTTTAAATTTTTAAAAAATATTTATTTTTCTGAGAGTGCAACCATGGGAGGGGCAGAGAAGGGGGACAGAGGATCCAAAGCAGTCTCTGCACTGACAGGCTGACAGCACAGAGCCCAGCATGGGGCTCGAACCCATGAACCAGAATATCATGATCTGGGCTAAAGTCAGATGCTCAACCAACTGAGCCACCCAGGCACCCCTGTCTCCTTTATTAAGAAACTTGTGGAGGTTAGGTGACTTATTTCACGTCATCCTGCTAGAAGATGGCAGAGTGGGGATTGGAATCCATGCCTCTTAGAATACCATACCGTCTGTTTTGACACATTGTCTTTGAGATTCCTGTGCTCTGTGAACACCATTTCCAATACAGCATAAACCACAAACCATGAACATAATGGTTTTCACTGCTTTAAATATTTCTTGTGTTTCCTCTGCTGCAATTATGCAAATTTCTGGTACAGAAGAGATCGGATGCTATCGTTTAAAGTTCACTAAGCTGGGATTCAGGAAAATTGAGTTCTAGATTTAGTTCTTTATCTCTCAGGGACTCAATTTCCTCATTTGGAAAACAAAGCAGTTGGTATAGATATGGCCTAAACCTTGCTTTGTTAGGTTAGGCTCCAACCATGAGGGGGGATTTGACTTATTTGTGAGTTTCCTTAGAGTCTTTGGCATGTAGCTGGGCACAGCTAAATCCTTAATATGGTTGGTGTTGTTAATTGATGGCAATTTCTTACCAAAAATGAGAAAACACTGGTACGCGAACTGCAGATTTATAAATAGTTGTTAATATTCCCTGAGCTTACTAGGTTCAGGCACTGTTTTATAAGAATGGGTCAGACAATGGGATAACTGATGTGCACAGTGACTTACTAACTTAACGTCTGTGGTAAAAAGGGAGCCAGTGCGCCCTGCAACCCTGATGAAAGTCACCACAAACACACTGTAGTCAATATCAATTTTCCAATGTATTATTGATTCTGAGAAGCATTAATTTCAAAACAAACAATGGTTTTCTTTGGTAATTTCCATGTTGTGGATACAACTGTCATTTTTGCTGACCTGTCTGTTGTCAGATATTATTGACTTCCTATAGAATGAACGAGAATATTTTATGGGTGTCTTTATTGAACTAGGAGAAGGGGGACAGGGAATTATAAATGAGAGAATTGTTAATGACTGTTCCCACCTCACCTCCCCATCACTCTACCCAAATTCAATGTAAAACTTCTGTACCTATGGACTCTGTTCCCCTCCAATTATTAAAATGCCTTAAATTTCTCCCCTCATTTTGCCAACACACACAAACACACACACACACACACACACACACACAAACACACCCCAATTACATTCAACTGTGGTTTCTGTTTCATTTTTGTTTGACATCGCAAAAGCCTATCAATGCTGTTATGACAGGATTTATATGTGAGGCATTCATTCTTTCATCAAATATGTGCAAGGAAATTGGGTGAATGGGAAAAGCTGAGGTCGAAATCAAGATAGTAAATTAGGGAAGGGACTGGCCCTTCCTGGGATGAGCCTCACCTCCCTGGGTGAGATGATCCCCAGGGCAAAGTCTGGCTCCATGGAGATCTAGGGCCCAGGAAGTCTATCCTGCCAGGGTCCTGGGATGGAATTTGGTCGTCCACCACATGGGCTCCTTCTGTTCTTCCCGCAGCTCTCTTCTTTTGATTTTGTCTTTTTTTCCCCAGCAATCCCCTTTCTTCCCAGCCTCTAGTTATCATCACCGTACTGACAGTTCCTGAGTATATGTTCTATCTTGGTTGTCCTTCTGAGTTTCACCTGGGTATCCTGCCTGTCAGGCAACTCAAACTCAATTTCTCCAAACCAACCCCTTTTCTCCCCTTCCTTTCTCCCCCAAACCCTCTATTATGTCCTCTGTGTCCTTGTGCACACCCACCTGCTAATGCCCAAAAGAACCTTGGAGGTCACTCTGTAGTCTTATTTTCTCTCACCATCACATCTAACCAGTGAAGGGCTAAAAAAGAAAAAAAAATCTTTTTGTAGTATTAAACAATATTTTAAATTGGTAAATTTTTATTAAAATATACATGCAAAAGACTTCCATAAAAGTGTGTAACTTAATAGACTTTTAGATAAGTGAATATATTTCTGCACTTCCTATCCAGATCAAAAGAAAGAACTTGACCATCAGAAGCACCCCACCTGCCACCTGCTAGCCACTGCTTCCCAAAGGGTGACCATTCCCCTGACTTTTAACATCAGTGACTTATTTTGTCTGATTCTGAACTTTATGCAGATGGACTTACACAGTGTGTATTTTTTGTGTGTCTGGCTTGTTTTACTCAGCATTATGCTCATGGGATGTATCTAGGCTGTTAGGTGTTTTTAGTTCTCTATTTCTGTGCCATGTAGGATTCTTACTTCATAGCAAGGGATTTTTACTATAAAATTCATATGTTCCTGAGACCATTTGAAGATATCCTGAACAGAGTCGTCAGTTGCCTCTGATAGCATATGCCTTTAAAAGCAGAACATACCTGTTTGTGATATTCCAAGTACACCAGTAAGGAAAACAAGTTTCACCAAAAAGGTTCAGACAGTCAAGGAGCTAGGAAAAGTAAAAGTGAAACTTCTTCCATTTTCCAGAGTTTGTTCTCTTTGTTGTAGTTTTGAAAGAAAAGTCATGCTTCAATTAATAACAGACAATGCAGTCAATATGATGGGAGTGGAGACAATGATGTGATCAAATGCCAAGAAATGACTGACGGCTGAAAAAATATCATGTGAGCCAAAGCAATTTCTCTTGACTTCTAACTTTATTCATCCAACAAATAATATTTCATCACAGTTTTATCAATGGAATGCAATTCCACCCAGATCATTCTGTCAACGACAAGAAACAACATCAAATCATTTTGTCCACACAGATAAATCAATCATTGATTATTATTTTCTCCCATTTGGGACCCAAGTAGGAGGACTAAATATCTTGAGTAAAACAAAGGGAAGAAAGAAATAATGGCTTCTATCTTGAAAAATCCAGTTGGGTAAATGTAGCTTATGCTTTTTTTTTTTTTTTGACACATTCTGATGTGAAGAGGGATAAACAGTTTTTAAATTTAGAGCACAGACAAACTGTAATAATAAACACATGGAAAGAGAATTCAGGCACTTACTGCTTCTTCCAGCTATGATAGCATTTCCAGTCCTTCACTTTTGCTTATGTAGTTCTCCTTACTGGGATTCTCCTGTCTTTAAATGTGTAATCAAGTTTTGAGAAAAATTAGATTGCAAAGGCTTATAAATCCAAATGAAAGAGGCGTCATCTTTAAAGGACAAACTTGTGTGGTAAGTGCCCTGATTATGGATTGGGCTGCTCTTGCTGGTCTTGCTGCTGCTGCTTGCTGCCACATCTTGATGCTGTTGAAAGCCCTTTCTCTAGAGTCCTCACTAGTTGGTCCACTACTGGATGAGAGGAGATTTAAGCTCGTCTTCATGCTGTACATGATACAGTTATGCATCAGGGTTTTTCACTTAATACATTGCAATGGACTGAATGTTTGTGTTCTCCCTAATTCATATGTTGATATCCTAAGCACCAATGTGACAGTATTAGGAGGTGATGGCCCCTGGGGAGTGATTTGTTCATGAAGGCAAACCCTTCTTGAATAGGATTGGTGCCCTTATAAAAGAGACCCCAGAGAGCTCTTTCACCCTATTTCTGCCACGTGAGGATACAGTGAGAAGCCGGTTGTCAGCAACTATAAAGAATGCTATCTCTAGAACATGATCATGCTGGCACGCTGATCTCTCACACTGCTTCCAGACTCCAGAACTGTGAGCAGTAAATTTCCGTTGTTTATAAACTACCCAGTCTGTGGTATTTTGTGATAGCAGCCAAAGCTGACCAAGATATATATTCTGAGTATCTTTTTCAGATTTGTCCTGAGAGGGGGGAAGACCCTCAGCAGGATCTTGTGTGGGGAATGGTTTGCTCCCAGAGGCCAGTAAAGTTAAGTTTGCTCTTTGCTGTAATTCCCTGGGCCATAGTTCTTGTACTACACTGGCTCGTCCTATTTATGACTTTCCCCCAAGACCTCAGCTATATTGTCAGAAGGGGCTCTACTGTCTGAAAAACCATGGGGCAAGGGACCTTCTTTTTGTCGGAGCACAGAAGCAAATGGTAAGCAAAATACTTACCGCCCTCTCCCTGATGATGTGCTCTTATATCTGCTGCAAGGCAGAGTTTGTATCTCGATGGTGATTTATCCTCATAAGGAAAACTAAGGTATTTCTAGCCTAGAGAAAGAAAAATAAATTAAATAAATACAAGACAAGTTAAATCTTCAGTGGTGCATCAATTCTCACATAAAAGGCCAAATTGGACTGCAAATTTCTTGAGGTTGGTGAATTTATTACA